ATGGCAAAGTACCATTGGGTAAAATCCAAAACGTCATGGTTCAATACCTATCAAATTAACGCAATTCCGATCAATTTTATACACACTTCTTTTTAGTTTTAAACGTTAGGATAATTATGTTTGCCAAAGTAATGCTATGTGGCAGTAATGAACCTGTTTAAAATACACGTACACAGACAAGGCCTTGACTTTGAAGTTATACTGTACACGGGTAGGAAGATGAAATAAGCTTACTGGGTTTCCAACTTGCCTCTTTTGAGTACGATAATTTTCTTTCGATTAAATTAGAAATCTTTGTAATTAAAAAACAACGATTATGATCACGATGATCGAAAATGCAACTAAAGTATATCAACTGAAAAAGTTAAAATTTCGAAAAAATAAATTGATTTATATTCACATCTTTCTACTTTAGTGGTGCCTTAATATCAAATTCAAGAAATTATAGCATTGGTTCTTATATAGAGGGCTTAACTTATTAATATATTAATTCATATCTTAAATTTCTTACATTCCATTTGCGTTGGTCTAATGAGGTTTAATAAGATTCGGTTAGGAAATAGTATTTACTCATATTTTTTGTCCGTTATTTTATTTAAAAGTCATAATATTTCATGTTCCTGGTTTAAACTCCCCTAATTTAGACGAAATTTATGAGTGCTCTATCTTCAATACCATAGTTTGAGGAATATTTTATTTTGGCATCTGAGAGAAGTTCTTTCAGTTTTTAAACGTGTTTTTAAATACAAAAGATAAAAAAAAAATTTGAGTTGAAATGTTTAATTATAAATATCTGAACTCTGTGCTAATCGGTTTTATCTTTTTCATTCTTGTCCATTCATTTTGAAAAGAGCTTACTTGATTTATTCGAAGGATCGGCAAAAATGAAATATATTTTTCAGTGAAATAAATATTAACAATAAACATGAGTTATCTTAAAAAAGGAAACTTTCAAATCTGAATATGTTCACCAGTTTCAATCATTTCTAAATACTATTAGAAGTTTGTTCTAAAGAATATTTATTCTATCTCAAATAAAAAGTCACGAGAACTAAGCATCATACTCTTTTACATCCTCAATAGGTGATCAAATATACTTCTTAGCAGGGAAAAATCTAGAGAGTGATCAAAAGTTAATCATGTTTATTGCCACTAACGTGTTTGTCCTTTTTTTCAAAATGGTTGAGGAGTGAAAAAACGTCCTTTGGCTAATCCATGCGCATTAGTTGTGTCAAGTACATTTTCAAATATTTTTTATTTGGGATTATAACAAAAGTTTTCCTGATTTCATTGTGCAAGTTTGTCATTCGTTCAGAGAGGACAACGACTATTGGATTTTCACGAAACCTACATTTTAGATTCAATAATTGATATATTTCCTTCTACTTAAAAAATGTTTGTGGAAAAACCATGTTTTTTTAATTATTTGTGCTGCTTGTAGTTGAGTAATAGAAAAGTACTAGTTGGAGAGATTTAAAACGTCCCGTTTCAATTCCTAACTAATTAGCTTAATTCAGATCATATTTCTTCACGAATGTTATGTAGTTTTTAATGTTGGAATGGAAATATGTTAAAGCAATATGAGTATTCCGTTCCCCCTAAATGTTATGACGGTCACCTTCTTTGTTAATTTCTATTTTGTCAAAGCGAACTAAGATACGGCTTTCAACAAACATACAAACATTCAAGCTAGTATCAAAGAAGACATTTGTTTATTATAAACTCCTTTAAAGATCCTTTTATTTCTATTTTAAACGTTTTTCAAATCAACATTGGTGAATAAGATTTCTGGTTTTATGCCATTTTATTACTTCATAAAATTTCAGCCGTTATTTGAACAGTGTTATATATAGTATAAATGTGTGTCTGTTTATATTCGCATTTAACATAATCTACCATTTCATTTCCGTTGTAAGAAATTGATTCCTTTTAGAAACCACATACACTATAAGTATTATTTCCGCAATGATCTCTTCAATACACTACATACAATGTGTCGCTCTCAGAAGTGGAACATTATTCACTAATCAATTTCTGATCAGTATATCAATAATAATTACTTCGGTTTATTTTTTGTTTCTTTGAAGAGTTATGTTTGCAAATGTGAACTATATTCGTCATTCAAGTTGTTAAATAAAAATGAAATTATACTGATGTAAAAGGAAATATGTTCTAAATTAACACGTTATCTTTATATAAGTGTGTTGCAAGAGTGTAAATAACTTGAATTAAATATGATTTGATTTTGCCTCTGTTCATGTTGTATTTGAGAAATCTGAAATATTCTAATTTACCCTCAAGTGTTTTATATTTTGTGTATGGCGGAATAAAATATTAGAATCCTGATTCATATTTAAATAACAACCCTGTAGATTTTGTTATCTCTTGTATTCATTCCAAGCAATTATTCAACAAACAACATATAATGTGTCGCATTCGGAAGAGGGGTATCAATCATATATCACATTTCTTATCAGCCTATCAGAATGCTATCTTCGATTTGTTATCCTTTATATGTAATGTTTGTCGATGGACACCTATTTTGGAATTCAATTTCTTGAAAACACGACACATTGGTGTTAAAACAATAATGTCACCAATGACAAGTTATTTATAAACTTTTAAAAAAAAGTTTAGCTACACTACTTCTACTGAAAATAAAGTAAAACAAAATTTCGATTTATCTTTCAAGTTTGTGTTTTCATATTCTTCAACCCTTTGTTTAATCAAGAGCATTACAGTTATGTTGTTCACATTCAACACAGCTACAATATTCGCAAACTTCTGGGAAAGGGGTCAGAATTGAAAGTCACAATTTACCAAGTCTTATCACATGGTCTATTTAAGAAATGCATACAACGCACAAAAGTGATGATTCTGATGGCACAATTGAATAAATAACAGAAATTCACATTTTCCCCGCAAAACAAAGGGAAAATTTGAGGAAGGGGCACTTTGTTACACCCTAATCTTTATCATAATTGTTTGTTTTTCTCCAATCATCAATTCAACATACTTTAAAACAAGAATGCCGTTAATTGGAAATCATTTTGAGCATCTTGTACAAATATATGAGACCTCAAGGTTTGACCCCATTAATCTGAATGGAGGTGTTACAAAACTGTCTCTGAGTAGTACATATACGTGTATCATTAACAAGTTTTGTATACATAAGTGTGTTGATAGAGTATAAATAAGTTTTAATTACTTAATTCAGGTGAACATGGTTACATATCAAATTAGTGTGTTTAAATAATTTTGACGGGTGAGAAATGCACTTCTTGTTAGAGATTTTTAACAACTTAAGAGACCAGATCGTACTTATACTTATACGAAAGCGATTTTCTTGCTATTTAAACAATATGTGTCTGTAACAATATATGTTCGTAAATATTTGTTTATGCATTCTCTCGTACACCACCAGATTCGAATATAAAATTAAATCTTTATCACAAAAATAAATTTGTTTCCTCTCTAAAGTTTTAAAAGTGAGTCAAATTAGTTTGTAGAAGGAGAGCAAATTAAGTCATTTTCATACAAGAAACAAGTGTTAAGTGTTTTTGGAAACAATTTGATCGCGAATAAGCATTCCACCAGGAAAAGTTCAAGTAATCCAAGGTCATTTTTACCCAAAACACAATGATATAATTTTGTTTATTGGATATTGTTAAGCAATATATATCATTAAAGCCATTCCAGTAGCCAATCAATGGCTTCATGCTGAAAGGAACACGGAATCAGCCAATGAAATTTAAAAGCAAAGATAGCATTGACATGCGTATTTATGGACTAGCAATTAACCGCTGCAATTGTGACAAAGACGTTTGAAAGCAAAACATGCAAAATGGTTAAGGGAATAAAACCTCAAAGGAAAAATCAGAACAGATGAAATTGTTTAGATCAACCAACATGTTGCACCTAAGTTTTAACATTCCAGAAAAACAAGTACGATCAACATGTTAACAATGTTATACTGAGTAAAATCATCTAATATCAGATAAAACGAATTATTAGCCATAGAACTGAAGAGAGAATATTTGATCACGCACATGACAGGTTTTGACAGAATAATAATCCAAATATCTTGTAGCTTCACAAAAGTGAATAATATACTTATAGATAATGTCATTCGAAATCGTTACCAACAAACATCAATTAGAAGTAAAATAATAAAAATACCAAACTCCAAGCAAGGAAAATTCAAAACGGAAAGTCCCTAAACAAATGCAAAATCAAAAGCTCAAACACATCAAACGAATGAAAAACAAGACTCTATCTTTACAAGTTTGTTATAATTAAGTATTCTTATATAGGGAGAAGACACGACCTTACTATCTAACAAAAAAAAAAGGTTACTTGTAGTAATTTATCATGAAATCACGAGTGATTTCACAATTGTAGGTGCACTGGTTCAAGTTTCAGGAAAATGTCTATCTCGGTAGTATCAAGCCACACGTTTAAAAGCTAAATCGCAGATGTCATATTTCTATGTTTGATTAAGTATTATTCAAAAGTAAAGAACGAATATCAATCAATTATAGTTTTGTTTAGACTAAAAGCTTTCACATACAGGTAAACTAGTATAAGATAGTAATACTAAGAAAGAAAAAGGTGTAACAGACAGTCCGGCGTTTCCAAAATATAGCTATCAGGTCCAAAACTAATGAAATAAGCGGAATTAACCCAACATTAAATCATTCAGACTAAGGGAATAAATTATTGCAAGCTTTATCAAAGTAGTCTCGTTCTGTCCTGAATATGTTTAAAGACAAAAGGTTTGCAGACCAGTATGACGGACATAAATTTCAGCAACTCGATTTAAAATCCAAAAATTCAGAACGTGCAATTTTAAATATCACATCCTGAACTGAAGCAATTGATCCGAGTAAAACGTGAATAATTTCCTGTACAAAAGGAATCAATGAGGTTATATTTAATTTTAATAAAACAAATTAACTCAGTCTACGGACGGGGTATTTAACTATTATTGAATAACTCAGTAAAACACATTTTTTTATTAAACAAAAACAAGACTAATAAAGACATTGTTACACAGCTTTAATTTAAGTTGCAACGTCTCATGACTTCAAGTGTCGTATAAATGCACTGACAAATCACCAGCTGTCTATAGTTTAGCATGGTCTCAAATAATTCCCTGCCAACAAGTTTCAGTATGCGACACCTGCAATTTTCTCTTAAATCTCTCTGGCATTGTGCTCATGGTCTGCATTTAAAATTCATTTTTAACACTTTAATTCCTGTAAGTTCATAAATTTATTACACTGTTTCATAAACACATTTAAACTCATCTCAGTATTTACTCAGTTACCAGCGAACCATTTCCAAATAAACAATGCCTCAATAGGTAAATGACAAAAATATTTGCTAATAACTCAGTGCAAACCCAACCAAATTATACAATAAACTTGAAGGGTATTTCTTATATAGAAAATATCATAATAAACATTTTCTTAAATACACTGAATGTAGAACAAAATTTGGGCGCGATTTCTCTCTGAATAACACTTTTAAAAACTGCCCATGGTTGAAAGGTCCCTCTTTTCCTTCATACGTCTACGCACCTGAGCTGGGAGTGATTTCCAAAAGACATTCACTGCACCAGCTTACCATTCCATGAAACTTAACCGAGCTATCTGATTCGTCCAAAAAGAGGCATATATTTTGAAGAATGCGTATTGAGAAGTTTGTTATCGCACTAAGATTTATCAATGACAAATTCTCATATGATAAAATGCCCTTTTATCATTGCATTTCACAGTAGTTCAAATAATTAAATAAAAGAATTGCTACTTCACCAAAATGTGTAAATAAAAAATCGGCATACGAATAGAATAATAACTCTAACAAGTATTTTTTAACTAAAAATTAAATAATTAAATAATTTAAATAAATCTATCTATAGCGACCCACAACCGTTAGAATTTTAACGATTATATTTCAAAGTAAGCTTCTAAAATTAGTTTTTTCTGCAACGCCAGTACTTTGCCAGCCCTATTATCATTGCATTTCATATCATTAAATGGATTTATTAAAAACGTGAACATTGCTAGAAAACACAAATTCTACTTCAGCAAAGTACCAGTAGTCTGTAATAAGTCTGTCCTGATGATACTAGTAGTTAAACTTAATGCATAAACATTACAATGGGTCCATTAACGAAAGTCTCTTTACAGAAGTATTATGTCTGCAATTAGGGTATATTTCATGTCACTGCATAAATGCTTGTCGGGCGGGTTCAATGTGTCCTAATAACTGTGAAGCAATGCCAAGAACTGTGTAGGCTATAGAGAGAAAAGCTCTATTATTTTCAATAAAATAGTTTTCTGCTATAACAAGTTGTAAAGTGTGAAGGCAATCCTGACATTGTCTGACATTATGGAGATGATAATGACATAAAATTTTTAGAAAATAAGCATAAACTATAGAGGAAATGCAATAGTGATTATTTTCTACTTCCATTTGTAGCTCATATGGTATTAGCCATGAACTTTTTCGAAATATCATAAAATCTACAAGTATTATTTTCCACATTTGTAATATACTTTTTCTTTTGAATACTTGCAAATCGGGCAATCGGACATGAATATCCGATATATCCATAAAGCGGTGTATTTTTTCGGGAGTACATTTCGATATAGAATATGCGATGATGTGTAAAGCATTACTATATTGTTTAGACTTATAGAAAAACGATGCTAACATCAGCCATCCAGATACAGCGTCATGATGAATATGCTGTAGCAGAGTACAAAGACAAGATTTGTACTGTTTGTATTGGTGTTTATTATTACTTTTTGTATTGTCTAATGATAAAGACCACGCAAATGAGGCACCCATCATTGACATATAGTATACAAAGGATTTGTCACAGGAAACAATTTGATTTATTCCTCTGTTGTATGCATTCCATTTCAATTCACTTTGATCTATTACACCAAAGGACATCAATAATAATAATAAGGAATTCAGTGTTTTTTCAACCGCGCTAGTATGCAAGATATATGGTTCTATGTTAATATTATACATTGATACATGAAAGTTGGATACTTGATCCGAAAATAAGATGCATCGCCATCCGTAACTATGCAGGTTATTAAGTTTTTCTAACAGTATTTCACGAGTGCGTCCCTCTATTTTGTTTTCAAACATGTTGTTCTCTGGTATGAAATAATGTAAACAAACTGAATAATCAACATTGTATATAAGTCTGCTAAAACATCGCATGAAACAATGTATAAGATTTTCAGGTTTTCATATTGATTGTGGTAATTCTTCTGATATCCAGAAAATAATTGTTTTCAAGAAATATGAACATAGTAAATTTTCACATTCGGTGTAGTTTGCTATTACATCTTTCAAAAGAATTTTCAGTAGGGCATAACATATTAATTGAGTGTGCGTAAAAGTATTTATTAGAAATTTTTCACCAACAGAAAAAGAAATTCGCCATTCTATATCCTCTTTTGGCGATCCCTTAACTCCGATTGGTACAAAAAGTACTCCGTGTTTTACAATACTTAGTTTAACATTATAACTTGGCCATGAGTTATTTGATCTTGTTATCCACTGTGATGCTTGTGATACCCATGTTGTACAATGTAAACAAAGGCAATAGTCAAACGTTCCGTCTTTGTCAGATATACATGGTCCATGAAATACATTATCTGTATGATCCATGAACTCTTGTTTATATATTGCGATTGAGAAATAATGTTTTCCATTATATTCCCTAGATAATTTACATAGAGATTTAGGAATAATTTGCTCTACTTTCAACTGAGTGAAACCAACTTTTACGTCATCTGTCTCCATTGACAAATAAATAACATTTGAATTGTAAACTGTTTTAATGTTTTCGTAAACTTCAAAGATTTTATATAAATACATTATATCCAAATCAGTTCCTCTCATCTCAAGTCCTTCTCCAATACTTCCACTTGTGATTTTGGAATAAAATTTGCCGCTTGTCATATTATCCCTGGCAGTATTCATCAGTCTCAAATTTTTCACATGATTCTCCGAACCCACTTTGTTCTGACACATGTAACGATACAGTCCTAATATAGTTTTTGTTTCTGTGTCTGAAATAAACATGAAATTCCTTTATTCACCATCTTGAGATTAACATAGAACTACTATTGCAATTTAGCTTCAATGAGTTGTTGCGATGTCAATTGATCTTAATAATGGATCAGCTTTTGTTATGATGCTATTGATTGTTATAACAAATTGCTTCTAACCATTTCAAAAGAGAGGAAGAAGATATCAAAGGGATAGTCAAACTCACAAGTCGAATGTAAAGTGACGACGCCAAGGAAGAAAAAAAACACTTGAAAAGCGATCAAAAGACAATACAAAGTACGACATAGACGCTTAATCCGGAACAACACGAATCATGCACCAAAAAGATCATTTTTTGGGATCTCAGCTAGGTGCTCAGGTAGGGTAGGTAGATTTTGCCGGCACCCGTTAAACCATTTTAAAGTTGACTTTATTAATTTCACAAAATCTATTTTATTTTATAATGCAGCATCAATATATATTTCCCTGTGCTTTCTACATTGATTTATAACCTTTGTTTTGAAAGTAAAGTTTAACGTGCAAATTTTTGTAATGGTTGATTCATTTTTACTTTCAACGTACGTGAAATAGAAACGCGACAACACATGGCAATTAATTTATATATATGTTTCAGATTGTATATGAGTTGAAAATTCTTTTAATATTACGCACCTGCCATTTTGTTTGAGCTGTTCATATGGGTATTTCCTTCAATGTTTAAATCTATTTTCGTTTCTATTTTTAATCAAATATAAAAACAAAAATTGTATTTCCTAATAAATGTGTCAACGTGGGCAATAAGCGAAAATAAATTATAACATAGTAATTAAAAGGACAAACGTATACACATTCATGAACATTAAAGGTGAAGATAACAAAACAATGTTAGAGCAAAACAATGTTAGAGGAAAGCCAGCTGGGTATAAGAAAGACAACTCCACAGTAAATAGTGTCGACAAATTGTGTCATTTAGGTAAAGGGTAGGGCGATTATTATTTGGGAAGCTTGATCATATTAAAATCTACTTTCACTTTTGTACACATTAACTTCCTGAATGCTTTACATCCTGTTTTTTTGCAAAGTTATTTTAAATAGTTCTTGTTTTTTAACATTTCAGAATATTCATTTGAAAAATTCACCTCCCTTAATTCTTACTTCAGAACTTAAGTATAGATGTCAAGTATACTGGGATATTTGCATAAGGTGTTGTAAAGCTTTTGTCATTTTTTGTTTAAATCCCATTTCATAAAGTTTGAAAATTACAAAGTGTTCTTTTTGGATATTTGATAAATATATGCTATCAAGTAATGATTCTTTGATGACATTCTAACGAACTAGTTCTTGCTAATATTCAAATTACAGACAGAGTGTTTTACATCATAAAATATATTCTAGTTTACTTCAAGAGTTAAAACTTAATTTATGACAAAACACAATATTAACTACAGAAAGAAGGAGTTGGGGTAAGTGGGAGTATTCTCCTCTCTGCTTATTTCCTTCTTACCTTAATCTTCTCCTTTTTCCTTGCCCTATTATCTTCTCTCCAATAAAAAAAAAAGCAAACATATCATTCTATGAAACAGTCAAAATTATGTTTTGTTCATTTTTGAAAAAAATAATATAAATTAAAAAATGTTTTGGCTCATTTACAATACGTCTTCTCTTGGTCCTTTTACATGTAAAAACAACTTGGTTTTTTTTTTTTTATAAATGCTGATGTTTGATCATTTTGCATTCCGTTTTGTCTTTTTAAATCATATTTGAAAAAAAATCTATTTTTTCCCTCATTTCTCCTTTTGTCGCCTTTTTCACTATAAAATGTTTAAAGCTTAAATTGGATATTTTCATTATCTTTGATAACCATTGTAAATGGGTTTTTAATTTGATTTGTTAAACTGTTTAGAGTTTTGGTTATTATTGTGGTGAAATAGCTAGAAGGGGAGAAGTTTAAAATAAAAGCAATGATTAAAAAAAAAAAATGCAGGTTAGAACGAATATACCGTTAAGGTGTCTAGGAAGGTCATGGTTTTCTATCAAATTCCATTGAAAACAACCGAAATATTATACATTATAATACTGCTCAGTAAGCATTTCCTTTATAAAATTATAGACGAATAAACTTTTATTAACGGTTAATTGCTAAAACAAACACTACTATTGACTGGTATGAACTCACAAGAAAGCTATTAAACCAAGAGTTCCAAATAGTGAAGTTGAAAACATCCCGGTTCTTTGTGGGGTTTGTGTTGCTCAGTCTAGTTTTCTATGTTGTGTTTTGTAGCTGTTGTTTGTCATTTGATCTTTTTTTTAATCTTTTTTACCATGGCGTTATGCGTTTGGATGTGCCTTTCACTTATCTTCAACTGGAAGCAAACATTTTTCCCTCATTAAAAGATTATTTATCGGTTAAGAGTTTCAAAAATATTTACTGAGTATGAACTCTTTACTGAAAGCAAAGATTTAACCGCACCTTCCGAATAATTAAACATTTGTTTAATTACTGCCTATTCGGAAATCGGCATTTACTGTTTCATCAAAAACATGAATCGGGAATAAAAATATCTACGAATACGATCTGTTTGAAGTTAGATGTTTCATTGTGCTGACAAAGCTATATATAATCTTACCAGAGAAATATTAGTATACACATGTCTCTGGTAAATTGGAGCAATGCAAACCAGCTTGTTTACAAGTTATAATGTGAGGTGGGAGCAGGAGGATTTTTCAGGATTGATTAATAATTTTTCATCTGTTGTTACTGTACGCATGTTTATTTCTTCCGCACGAAACTGTAATATATCTTTTGGTCACAATTAATCTTGCATCGTCAAAATCACTCTTTATTCTCAACTCTTACAAGGCCAAATTATTTTTTTTTTATATCTCAGCTCTATACTTAAAACTTGATTTTTTGCAAAAAGATACCAATAGATCGGTTTTATGTCTTTCATGTCCGTAAGTTATGCATTATGCTGCCATTTCTTAAAAAGTCAAGGTCACTGAAAATATTGAACTGTAGCACCTGAATGACATGCATATTATATCTTTCACTTTTATCATGTGTGTGATGTATCATGTACTTTGTTATTTTGTTAAGTTCATGTAAAATTATGCAATCGACCCCATTTGGGAATAACTATGTATTGATTTTAATAAAGCCTATAATCAAAACTAAAATAATTCTTGAAAACGAAAATATTCAATCATAGACATTATATTACATATAATAGTATTATTTGTCTCTGATTCCACATCCCTGAAATTATATCCATGTTTCCCCATAGAATATAAATCACCAATAACCATGTTTGTCTTCAGTGCCTGATGTCAGTGATTAAACTGATGTTTAAAAAAGTTAATGCTTTCGTTTTCTCGTTTGAATTGTTTCACATCTGCCATTTCAGGGCCTTTTACAGCTTACTATGCGGTATAGGTTTTGCTCATCGTTGAAGACCATATACGATGACCTATAGTTGTTGATTTCTACATCATTCGGTTTCTAGTGCCGAGTTGTTTCATGTCATTCATACCACATCTTTCTATCTTTATATTAAAGTGAAAATGAAAGTTGCTGTTTGTCAGTTGAGCACTTGGCATTGGATGGTAAAGACTTTTCGGCCCTAGTCATAATATCATATATATGTATCTATAAAGAATGGTATGCCGCAGATTCAAACGTTCAGTAACAGTTTTATATGATATATAGTATATTGATGTCATTATTTGTGAAAAATTTAATTACAGTTGATTAATATTAAACTTTGTTAATCTGTTTAAAATTCTCTTCCTCGATACCCTCGTGATTCAAGATTTTTTGGCGAGCTTTTGATGGCATTTTGAAGTGTCAAGTATGCTAATTCAATTAATGTCAAACTACACATATTTTTTTAACCCAATATGGCATTTGCTTTAGAATTGAAAGCCTATATAGATAGTTCAAACATTTTGCGGGACGGAAATTTTTTATAAATTCAAAAGACGTAATTTGCTACGCATTCCACTTACTAACATTTTGAACTTAAATATAAAATGTAAAATTGTTTGTGTACCAAACAGCTTTATAGAAACATGCATCTATATACGATATATTACTCTGCCCTTGTGAAAGACATACATTAAAGTTAAAAGGCTTATTTAAATTTTAAACTGTTATATGTATCAATTAAATTTACATTTTAAATCGTGTTCTTTTCAGATTATCATTTGAAAAAAGTAATAAACATCGTAGAGAAATGAATATACATCAAAGATGTAAATTTCCACTAGCTTGCGTTTTTTGCATATAATTAACCGTTAACGTCACACAAGGATGAAGGCGCCATTCAAGTTTGAAACTTGTGTAAAATTTGGCGGTTTAAATCTGACAGCGTAATTTATTTTGAAAATGACATCTGTTTGCCATATTAAGTTTGTATAAAGTAAATGTAATTAAAAATGTATTTATAACAGACATTTCACAAGTTATAAAGGGATAACTGAAGTGAACAGTTATGAAATATTTCTTTATGCTGGTACTTAACTTTACAAGAGGCTTTAACATTAGGTAATTTATATTGTCATCACAGATTTTTGAACTTTCGACATCACCTAAAATTGTATTGAGAGAAGTCATGGGTTCTTTTTATGATGTGGTTACACAAAAGCCTTAAATATTGGCTTGTTTATTCTCCAGATACGGATCCAGGATGTTTGAAAGAGGGGTGTAATTCCCATCAATTTGAGATTTCCTGCTGAATTGATTTTGGACGATTTCATGTTAAAAAGAATTTTCAATCAAAGGGGGAAGGGGGATTTCGCCCTCTACCCCCTTGTATCCGCCACTGCTCTCCTCTATAAAACCAACAGCAAATAATACTATACCCACAGTGAGAATGACACATCAAAGTATACATGTAGCAGGACAACCCTACGGATTCAGCTTACGCTTAAAAATGAAACACAGCGTGTTGTGGTGCAATAGTCCTGATATTGCTCTGACGTCTGATGGCCTTTTAAGGACTTGGCCATCAGCAAGTCTCAAAACGACCGTTATCCCGGACTTTAGCATGTTTAGTGTAAACAGACTTTTGTCCTTGTTTCTGTAGTAATACATACAACAACTTACATACCAGCAGGCATGTTATATGTGAAAATACGAAAATATATATAATATTTTATCAGTTGAAAATAGGCTTGAAACTAGCTTTCAGTAAAGTGAAAGTGGCGTTAAACACCAATTAATAAATCAATCAATATTACACTTCATGTCGGTTTTGGACCTTGCCATGTATTATGAGACATGAAATATTACATCACCTCTGTGGAATATGAATGAAAAATATATCAAACATATCTATAATACTACTGTAAATTCAGAAATTATATCGATGTTTTTATTATTGCGAAAAATGCGAATGGGTTATAATCGCAATAATTTGAACTCGCATTTTGAAATTTTTTATATGAATTAAACAGAATTTTCTCAATATCATAAAAATTAAAATCGCATTTTAGTCTAAAATGACAAAATCGCAATAATAAATGCACGCAATAATTTCTGAATTTACAGTTAATGAGGAGAGCTGTATTTGTGTGCCTCAAGTTCTCCAAAAATCAAACTAAATTAATCAGTATATACTTATATGTTTCACGAGGCCACTATATTGTAGTTTCCTAAATTTTGCTTACTTAATTGAAATTATCTTGGGGACAGTTTTTGAAAAAAAACGTG